AGGCAGAGGAGGAGAAGGCAGAGGAGAAGAAGGCAGGGGAGGAGAAGAAGGCAGAGGAGGAGGAGGAGAAGGCAGAGGAGGAGGGACACCAGGAGGCGTGGACAGGAAATCCAAGGTACAGTATGTGTAGACGCACCACTACACAAACCTACTGCTCTTTACTTACACTGCATTGAGGAGCAGGTTTTTGAACAGTATATTTTTAACAGTTTAAATTATTTATAAGGCTGCGTTCAGACTTATGCAGGTGAACAAAGCTCAAACAATTCAAGCACAAATTCCCTGGGGATTACTTTGTGTGTGAACATTCTGTTAATGTGGTGATTGAGTTGTTGAATCCTGCCTGATTTGACGTAGGACTGTTCAGGCTCAACACCAGTGTTCACGTCCTGTGTTTGTTGCCGTGTTGTTTCTTGGACAGGAATGGGAGGAGAAGAGACGACAGAACATCGAGAAGATGAATGAGGAAATGGAGAGAATAGCAGAGTATGAGAGAGGACAGCGGGTATGAGAGTCACTGTTTTTAAAAGATAATGTCATCATGTTTCTACATGGGCTTTAACTATTTTATCAAAATGAGCTGTCTTCATAAACATTAAGGAAACGAATAATTTAGAATTTCTCCTCTCAGCTGGATAGTGACAAGCCAATCCGTAACTTCCTTGATGACCCAAGACGTTCAGGTCCGGCGCCTGACATAGACCGCAAGGAGGGCAGCAGGAGACATGTACGAAACTGGGGAGGGCTTGACTTTGACAACGTAAAGACGGGAAATGAACTGGAGAAGGAGTGGACTGTGAGTCATGTCATTCTCTAAAAACAATGGGAGTTCATACTTATGCCAGCAGGATTGTTAACAAGCAAAAATTCTTTTTTTCAGATTTTTGAACGTCTTAGGTAACATTATTCATTTGTCTCATTCTGTGAACCCTCCTGTGTTTACAGAGTCGAAGGCCTGGTCCCAAGGGCTCTGTGGACATGACCATGTCCATGACCGGCCGGGAGAGAGCAGAGTACCTGCGCTGGAAGAAGGAGCGTGAGCAGATTGATGAGGAGAGACTAGCGCGCCATCGTAATGCCACAGGCCAGTGGCGACGAGAGTGGGATGCACAGAAGACAGATAACATGTGAGTGCTTGTATTTGTGCACATTTTGAGCATTTTAAGGTCTGGACCACCCACCACTAGGTGGGGCTGCACACGACCATTTGACTGGAGCATTGCTGTGCGTTAACTCACAAACAGCAAGAATTCCACACAGAGACCCTAAACTGGGATTTGTAAAAGGAACCTTCTTGCCGTCAGGTGACCACGTTAACCACTGTACCGCCATGCCACCGCTTATATTAATATAATATTTTAAAAGAGATTATAAAAGGTGGATTATCCACCATTGCTTTGCTCAGCCTGTCCTTTCCCCGTCTCTCCCTCTCTCTAACACACGTTAAGTTTTTACCATACCTCAGAGGACGAGCTGAGTCGAAGACAGTGGCGTGAGGAAAAGAACACACTGATGTTTTGTGGTTGTGTGTGAGTGCTAATATGCACGATCTAACCCAGCGGCTGTTTTCACAGGTTCAAAGAGGACCCATATGTAGCTGCAGAGGGCGTCACATCCGAGCAGGGTAACAGGAGAGGCAAGTACACACGCACAAACACACACGCCACACATACACGCACGCACGCACGCACACAACACATTTGCTGTTGCTTTGGTAACAGCTGGCACAACCAGGTCAGCAGCAGACCCTCGATCAACCTCCACCCCACCTCTCTGCTCGTCTGACACATCGTCACATAAACACATCGCAGGGCACAGCATCATCTTCCTTCTCCAGCTAATTAAGGCTGTTATGTAAATGGTTATGTAAGTAATTGTTGTATTTCCCTTGAGTCCAAATTTAGAGGAGCGGATTTAGACGGACCCCAGGGTTCCTTCAGGAGGCTGACTGACTTTCACCACTATCATGTCACCATAAACTGGCCAAAATATGCGTACAACATATTTCATAAAGATTTTTACAAAAAAGTACTAATATAAAGGTTTTTAATTTTAGATACAATGTTCTTACTATCAAATATTTAAAAAATATCCACTGTCGATCACAAGAGTAAAGCACATGTCTTTTAATATTTAATATTCATAACCTAATCTTTCCTGCAGCCAAAAGTTTTCCAAGTAATAGTTTAAATTACTGATTTGAATTTGAAACCAGGCAAAAAGAAAATGGGGCCATAATGTCCTGATGAGCCAAATGACATGATGTTGCTTGTGCGTGTTGATAATTTCAGTCAGTCATCCGAATGATAGAATAATTTACTGTGGGACTGAGGTAATCCCAGGACACAAGTGTCCCAATATCAGACCCAGTGCAGCGGAACAAGCCCACACTTTGTTCGAGTGGCTTTGCAAGTGACTTTTAATGCTGCTCCTCTTTTCTACTGGTTGTTTCAGGCTTGAAATGCAAATGTAAGAACTGGACACTGTCATTAAACACCACACGTCAGTTTGGAGCAATAGAACAAAGATTGTGTCGACAGAAGAGTTTTTAAGTTTTAAGTTTTGCTCAAATAGCTGAAAAAAAGTCACTGACAAGCCGAGTGTAAACGGGAGAAAATATTTTCCAAATCGGAAAAAATATTTATATTGACATTTTCATTAAAGGAAAAACTATTTTGTGAGTTTTTTATGTATAAAAACTTGACTTGATGAGAAGAAAAGAAGAGTTTCAGTGACCTTGACCTCATTTCAGTGCATTCGGTCAAATCTTCAGATTTTAGCGTAGTGGCAAGATGTTTCCATGGTCAAAATGTCTTTGCTATATTTTGTTGTGTGTCAGTGTGTGTGTCAGTGTGTGTGTGTCAGTGTGTGTGTGTCAGTGTGTGTGTCAGTGTCAGATACACTGTGATTTGTATCTGTATTTTCTCTGCAGCCCGGGGGCGTAACTCTCGTGCAGAGCCTCGGGGCAGGGCCTCAGGTTAGACACAGCATGGGACTGAGATCACATTGTGTGCGTTGGTTTTGTTCCATGTGTGTGTGTGTGTGTCTGAAGCTGCTCCCAGAACCTGACTCACCCCTAACTTACAAACCTGACTCACCCTTCTGTCAAAGCAGCTTCTGTAGTGATGAATTCCATCAACCACGGTTAAAATATTAACTAACTAAAGTTTGCACTTATGTTCAAACAGACTGCTTCACCGTTTACCATGTTTCAGGATCTGTTACAACCACAATTATTGTTATTTGTGGTTTTACAAGTGATAAATCATCTTCACTATTTTATTTTCCAATCAAGCAACGGTTGTTCCACTTACATAATGTAAGAGTTGAAGTTTTTACTGTGCTCTGCAGGTAGACAGGACTTAGGATACCTCTCCTATAACTCTAACCCGTTGACATTGTCCTCTGTGGTTTCCAGCCGCTGCTAAATCCGGCCCATATTTGCAGCTCCGGTTGTGGGTGTGATGTCTGAAGCACGACACACCAGAGTCACAAGTTTAATACCAAGCATTCCAGCAGTGCTGCGGCAATGACAGAGAGGCCCTTCTCCCTATGATTAATTTTTGTATCATTGAAATGATTTTGACCCCAGTTAGAAATCTACATTGTGTTGCTTTGATTTACAATGATTCCTGATTTATTTTTACTTTTTTTCAGCCAGATCTGATTACCAATGTTATAGGTTTTTATGTTGACTTTTTATTATAAACCTGACTCATAACATATAAAGCTCTAACAAAGTGAATGAGCTTTTAGAAACCTGTAAATATCTTTGGACCCTGTGCTGCCCAGGAAGCTACAAAGACCTCTTGTAATTTCGTCATTTGTTTGATTCAGTCCATTAAACCCGTTTGTTCGTTACTCAGGTGAACAGAATGTGAAAGGAGGCTTCGTATCGACCACACTCCAGTCTCAGGGTTTTGTTTTGAAGTTGGGTGTAAAGCTGTTTTGGAGTTGGCTTGAACATCTTTAAAGGTTTCCTCATGTTTCCGTGATGCTGGAAACACTTCGAAAGCTTCTGACCTCCCACACATACTCACATCAGGATGATGAACAGTTTTCGTAAATACTTCTTAGCATTTCTTCTCTCAATACCTTGCAGCGGATGTTTGTAGGTTCTATTGCCATAGATCCACCAGAAGCTTGAATCATATATGCAGATCTGCACCAGACTCTCCTGAACTGTGAGAAGGTTAAAAAAAAAAAAAAGCTGAGAATGAATTCAGATGCTGTTAAGTCCTGGTTTATTCCAGTTCTGTATCTTTGAAACTGGAGTGTATATTACAGGTTATGACACATCACACCTGCCCCACATTAAAGCCCACACTTGCTTTGGCTGCATGTGTGTGTCTCCACATCGTACGTGTGTGTTTCTTTTTTTTCTTCACCATTTCTAATTTCTAGAATGACTCGAGTGTCATCTTCAAAGCCCCGAGCTGCTCTGTTCAATCTCCTCATCTCCACTGATCCCTTCATTTCTTTTGTGCTCGCAGCTTTCTCTTCCTGACCTTTTTTTTTATCACATCCTCTCTCTCCGTCGAGCTTTTATCCAACTCCCTCCCCACATCGCCTCCCCTACTGAAGAATTCAGACTCTTGACCTTCTCCCTCTTCACTTCGTCTATCTTCTGTTTCTCTCTCTGCTCCACATCGTTTTAATTCCTGCACATTTCCATTGTTTTCACTCTTTTCTTTTCCTTATCTCTTCACTTTGTTTCTCTACTTCTCTGTCTTTTACAGCTTGTTATTTTATACCTTCCATTCTTAATTGTTTGTTTTTCTGTTGAATTCCTCCCAAACTAGCGTCATTTCTTTGAACATCTTTCTCATTTTTCCTTTTCTCATTTCATTCTCTCTTTTTCTTCAGAGGAAGTCACATGTCATGTTGTAATATTATATATACATTTGGTTTGATGTAGATGCTATGATACTTTAAATTTACCTAATGTGAGGGGGAACATTTTTTTAATTCCTCCAAAAAAGAGAATCACATCTTCATGGTTCTTGAGAAAAGTTCAATGTTCATTTGACAAATGTAAATATTTTTTTAATTATGTGTTAATTGTATTTTTTCACATTTGTGACGTAGTTGATATCCCATGAGCCTTTTTAAAAATGACTTCTGATCAGCATGTATCAAAATGATAAACACACATCCAGCTTCTTTTCTTTCTCTGTCTGATTCACTCCACCTTCAGATCAATTATTACAAATAAACTTTACACTCAACATTATTGTCCCCTCCAGATGACAGTAAGCGACCCCCCAAGACTCCGACATTTGGTGACTTCCTGTCCCAGGGCAGGACCCCGGGGCCCCGAGGGGACCGTAGCCGAGGGAGGGGCCGAGGACAGAAGCAGAGCTACAGGTAAATCTGACTTTGTACAAACAGTGTCACAGTCTCTTCTCGACTCTGTGTCCAAACGTTCAACTCAAGATGTTTGATTGATCGAACGATTGACTGCATCAGACTTAATTTGTGTCTACAAACAATGTAACACAAAGAGATTTACGGAGAAAACCAATAAAAAAATGAAAGAGGTGATGAGGAAGTGGAGCAAGTAATAATAATAAAAGATTTTTATTTGGTTTTGGTTTATTTTCTTTCGTGCATTAATCTTCTGACCTCCTAGTTTGTTTACTCAGTAACCAGCATAATCGTTTGTGCTTTGCCCAAAAGATTTTTTGTCAAGGGTTATTTGTGAGTTTGGTGTTGATGCACATCAAACCTCTAACATATGTGGATGCCTCTGACAGCATGCATGACAACCGCTGGGAAGGAGAGAAAGAGGAAGAGGAGGAGAAGGAAAAGGAGGACAAGACAAAGAGAGAGGAGAAGACGAAAAAGAAGAAGGAAGAAAAACCCAAACCTTCCACGACGCAGAAGGTAAAGAGCTTCATCTGGATCAGTACCTCACCGTTAATCAACCAACATTTCATAACAATAATAAAAGCCCTAGAGTAGGTGAATTTAAAATCAGTATTCAATCACTCTTTTACATTTCAGTCAGTTTTCTTCTATTGTTGTTGTCGTCCTTCAGCTCTGGATCAGTCTCAATACCATTGATATTTAAAACAGCAGTGGACAAAGTTGGCGACAAGCTGGCGAACACAGTGGAGCAGTCAGCCGCTACAGAGCCAGATATTTCCCTCAGGGGTTTGAAGCTGAAGACTAAAAGAGAGTGAACCTTGCATTTACAATGTTGCCAGAAACACAACTCTGAATGTTAGACAAGAAAATAAGCAACGTTTTGTTCCATCTTATCCACAGTTTGTTTCTGCTTCGTGCAAGTGGCCAAATAATCAGTCATTGCAGGTTTAAGATTGCAAACTTGTAGTTATTCACCTCCGTCCATTTTTTCTCAGGTGGAGGAGAATAATGGAGATGAAGAGGAGGACGATGACAACTGGGAAGATGCCAGCGATGAAGAAGACGTGGAGGAAGGGAGCGACTCAGAAGACGACTCCAGGGACAATGAGAAGAAAGATGCTGGGAAAGAAAAACCAGCCAAGAGCAAAGAAAACTCCCCTAAGTCTCCCACCCCTCGTTCTCGAAAGACGTCGGCGGGCAGCCCCAAAGAGCAGCGAACACCCAGGCCGAAGGTGCACATCCCGCCCCCAACAGCAGCTCAGGAGTCACCAGAGGGCGGCAAACCCCTCAGCCCCTTCTTCCCACTGGAAGGCCACCAGCCTGTGTCAGACTGGGGAGAGGAGATGGAGATGCTGTCACCTCGGAGCAGCATGGGAGGAGAGAGTCCCTTGAAACCCCCGAGTGCTGAGTCCAGCCCCCCCCAGACGAAGGCCCAGGAGCACGAGGATGAGACGGAGAGCCAGGATGCCAGTGAACCTGCTGAGCCACGGAAAGAGGAGGAAGCAGGTGAGATATTTAACCCCACACCTGAGCCATGATATGAAATTATTACAGTAAAATTCTTTAGCATCTTTAACGTTTTGAACAAGGGCAGTTGATTTTATATATTATATATACACACACACACACAAAATATGATATACATCAGCTCTGTACCACTTTTAGTAAAATTCACAGCATTAAGATTAAATAATATCACAACTTTGGATATAAGACTTAACGAGCTGCTCAGGCCGCAATTTTCAGGCACTTTACTTTTTGTGTTTTGAGAACTTACATCATTAAAACACTGATTGGTAAACTCTGCTCATATTAAACAGGAAGGTGAGAAAAAGTCCTGTCGAACTTTCTCTCTGCTCATTGTCTCGTGTCTCTCCTGCATTTTTCCCGATAGAAAATTGGTTTGAGACAGAAATTCTAGTTTGAAATGTCGCTCTTCTCTTCTGTTTGATTTTCCATCTTTTCTTTGCTCGACTCTACTTGAGACTAATCTTATCTTCTTTTCTTCCTTTTCCTTCCTAACCCTCTCTCCATTCCTACCTCCTCATCTTCCCTTACTCTCCTGTCCCCTTCCCCCTTTCTGTCGTCTCCTCCAGAAGAGATTAAATCCCAGCAGATTGTGATTGTGTCAGAGCCGGAGTCCGTCCCCACACACTCCCCCGCTGCAACACCACCTGACGCCACCCTCTCTGATATTTCTGTCCCAGCCCCCTCTGAAGTCAGTGAGGCAGCTGTGACAACGAACCAGGAAGAACCCGCTGCTCCGTCACAAGGTAATAAAAACCTCCAAAAAAGAACAAAACAAAGATGAGACCAATGCTGGAATCAGACTACAGGAATTTCATGAATATTTATCCCTGATTTGGAATCGGAGGAGAGATCTGCTCTTGAACCTTGGCTGGTACCAATGTTTGGCCCAGATCATCTGATAGTGTGAAAGGTTCTAGAGTCGTTCTTAAACCTTTTAAGCTGCCCACGAGACATCAGGTGAGAATTCATGCTCCCATCTCTAAAGCAAGGCCACCACTTTACATAAGATCAATTGATTTACCCCAAATTACCTGTGAGACGTGTTTATGGGTTAAAAAAATAATGAAGATATTAATTGAAAAGCTCATTCTTCTTCTCTGACAAACCAGACTCCGCCCCTTCTCCTCCTGTCCTGGAGGCCAGTGAGAGCTCTTCTGAACCAGCAGGAAGCGAAGATGATGACGCAGCGCCCGCTGAGACCAACGCTCAGACAGAAGAAACCGTGGAGGAGTCCCCAGAGCAGGTGTCCTCAGGTGCGGTCCTTATCAGTGACTTTGAGACAGTGACGTACTGTAAGAAATCCCCTGCTCGCCTCTAATGCCCTTTCATGCTTCACTTTTTTTGTGAATGTGTTGGTTTGATAACTTCCCCTTTGTTTTCCTTGTTGTGTTTCTCACCGCTTGTTTTTTGCTTGGTGGCATGTTAAACCCAAAGATTCATACTCACATGAAAACACAGCCTGATCTTTGGATCTGACACGAGCCTCCTCACGCCGTCACTGTCTCCTCCAATCGTTCAGGACCCCTTCTTTTGTTTGAAACTCGTACTGGCTGTCTCCCTCCTCCTCCTCCTCCTTCTCCTCCTGTGATGGACTGAACTCTACCACTAACTCCACCTCCTTTTAAATTGTGGTGTTTACTGCCCATATTCCTCCTCTTCTGTTGTGAAACCTTTTTGTTTCCATCCTTTTACCACTGTGATGAAAACACATCAAAGTGCTGCATGGGATCCTGCCTGCATCACCACACCTTGATGTACAACCTCTCTTTCCCTCTGGATGCGTCAGTTTGGACGAGAAAACTGTTTCACATTTCATATATGAAATATGATAGAATACAGTAAAAATGGACATTGGGTTGTAATGTGTCTGCTTTTTCTGCAACCTTCTCTTCTGTCTGCTTCCTGTCGAGCTTCTTGTGTGCTGGTTTATAACCTTCCACTCAGAACTGGTTTCTCTGCAAAGGTTCACTGATCATGTTGGTGGCTTAAAGCAGAGGTTCCCAAACTTTTCAGCCCCTGACCTGCTAAATATATATGTGCACCTCTGGAGTCATACAGAGACAAAGACAATCAGAAGGCTGAATATTTGCATGGTTTTATTTTAAATTCAATGTTTTAGCTTTTGGGATAATTGTGGCTAAACTATAATATTAAGAAAAGTTCTTATATTAAATTAGATTACCGGAAACCAACCTGCAATCCTCCTTCTGTGTCTCGTGACCCTCCAGGGGCTGCAGACCCCTAGTTTGGGAACCACTGGCTTGAAGGGTGTCTTGACATTTGTTTTTCCCTTGTATGTTACAAAAAGAAGTCAAGCATGTCATTAAAATGACATCACATGGAATTACCACTTAGTGAGTACTTGCAACCAAAGCACCTCATAGTACCGTGAATCATTAGTGCTCCATAAGTGGGAATTAAATTCACCCGCCCTGGTTAGACTCAGCTAATTGAGACACATCACCACATCAGCTCTGTTTGTTCTGTACACTGTGGTTTAAAGTGAGCTAAGTGGATAAACCACAGGCTGGAGGAAGTCGTCTCATTATCTGCTCTTCTCTCAACCACTTGGTCTGTGTCGCCTGTGGCTGTTGTGTCATCGCTAACAGCAAAGTTAAAAAAACAACAACATTATTTTCAATATCAACTGGTTCCGTTGCTTGTCTCAGTGTGAGCCAGAAACCAAAAGATAAATGGATTCAGTTTCCTTACGCTTCCTGAGTGATCACTGTCTAATCAGTGAAACTGAAAATGATTAATGAAGCAGCGACCACTCAAGATTTTGTCATTTAAAGTGCCCATATTTTACTTTGAAGGTTTTCCTCTTTCCTCTAACTCTGTTATATAGTGTTGAATGTAATTACAAAGGCCAAAGTCCACACTAAAGGATTATCTCCCACAGACGAGCAGTTACAGCTTAAACTGGATAAATAATGTAAAGATCATCTCAGACTACAGATTGTTTCATAATAACTATTATCATTAGCTGCTGCTTGCATTTAGTCCTGTGACGTCTCATATGTGATAAACAGCAGAGGTCAGATGAGCTCATGCATGTTCCTGCGCACGCACGCACGCACACACACACACACACGTCTGCTGATGTAATTGTGACAGTGTTAGTGTGTGTGTTGGTGCCAGGATGGAGATCCGGAAACCAGGGAAATTAGAGGCACAAATACGTTTTTAAAAGGCTTTTCAGAGGAAATGAGCCGCAGCCTGTGGAACAGATGACAGAGCAGATAGAACAGATGCTGTCTGAAGTCTGATTGAATTAAGTCACGTGATGTTTCCGAGCCTCTGACTGTGGATGGAGATGAACGATGTGACTCACTGGAGCAGCAGCAAACACCCCAATAAAATACACGAAGATGGCTCCAGTGATCGTTAAGTCTGTGGTACAGAGAGAAATGCAGCTATTAGATACATCTGATTGGATAAATCTGTTTTCATGGTTTTTGATCAGTAACACTTTAAAGGCACAGTGTGAAGAATTTAGTGACGTCTAGTGTTGATATTGCATCTTACAGCTGAACACAAATATCTCATTCCCCTAAATGTCAAACTTTTCCTGCGTGACAAGAACCGCTTACAAATGTCCGAGTTCTCAGATATCTTCTTTTGTCTTAATCATATATAAAAATAAAAATGTTGGAGGAGTCACAGTAAAGATTCTCCCCCGGGGCTGTTGGCTCTAAACATGTGCAAAGGTTACGGTACCGTGAAGTGCTTTGGTTGAAGGCTTTTGACATGATGACACAGAAACACATGTATGACCCTGCACCTCCACCACCTCCTCCACCACCTCCTCCTTGTGTTTGTACCAACAGGCTGAAGCTGCTGGGAACAAACCCACTCACATCTGAGGAGGAAGGAGAGGAGACAGGAAATGGAGACAACTGAAGAGCATCGCGCTTCTCATCACTGGAGCGACGTCACACATGTGAATGTGTTTTTCACGCTCTCTGTCTCTGAGATGTTTTGAAGTCTGTTTTGGATCGATGTGTCTGATCACCTCTGGGTGGTTTTCTCTGACTCTGTTGAAGTTTTAAGAAATCAAGAGTAAAATGTGTAAAGTTTTTGTTCTTGCAGTGCAGTCTCAAGGTTTTCTGAGCTGAGAAAAATGTGTCCACAGTAGAAACTACGGAAGATCATTTAAGACACGTGCTGAGGATCAACCACTTGTTCGTTGCTCTCTGAGCTGCACAGAAAACACCAGCTCAGTTTCACCTGAGATTTTATGAATTAACCCCATTGTAGCTGCCACAGAGTGGATTGAAAAAAAAAAGAAGCTCTTCACAGATTTTGAAAGGACACAATTGATCTGTGTTAGTAACTACATTACCCACATTGCAACTCATCCACGTTGGTGGAAATTCCTTTTGTTTTGAAATTATGACTAATCATTGAGCATAAGCTTCAATTATGAGTTAACGACTGATCAGGTTCGTTCTGCAGGAAAATTGACCTTCACGCACTAAAGGCTCGTATTATTGTCTTCATCATTTTCTCAGCCAGTTTTTATTTCTACATTATTTTCACACAGTTGTTTCTGAACTCATGGGAGTGTTTGCTGTTGTCTTTCGGTTTTAAAGCCTCTGACTCTTCTGCGGCAGTGATCTCAGCTCCGTTAGTGTTTGTAATGCAGCGATTGGCCTCCAGCCTGCTCGACTCTTAGCTTTTTATTTTGTGGCTTTTAATCATTTTGTTCATGGAAATACTCATTTTCCATTTGCGAGCCCCCGACACTTTTATTTTCAAGTTATAATCAAAGAGTAAAATACCATGAGCTTCACTGCAGCTTGTTCATGATGCTTTAAATGTCATGTTAGACATCAGAGCCAGCTGTGTGGTCCAGATGTGTTCAGCAGAACAACTCCTGAAGGTCAGACGTGGATCAGAGCGAGTGAGTGTTTATGGAAACTACTTGATGTGCTCTCTCCTCTTCCTCATCTCAAAATAACATGAATGTACTTGGAGCTGAGTTTTCATTTGCTGATATTTGTTGTGTCTCATTCTGGGAGAACGGTTTATATTTCCACTGACAGTCTGTGCTGTTATCATGTGTCTGATTGTTGTGAATCATCGACTCCACGGAGAAATCCCTTTCAGTGGACACACTGCCTCTTCAACAATGAACAAAAAAATATTTTTTATCCAAAAATAGTTTGATAAAAAAAACAACCTACTTAGTGTTGATATTATTTCAAACAGCCGTCTTTGCTTGTTTTTTTAATTTCCTTTGGGATGAGACCCCTCACTCATACCTCAGCAGACCAAGGGCTGGAGTTAGTTTTTCAGTCTGTGCTTTGTTTTCTGCGTCTCGCTCTTTGTTCGTCGTAGCCGTGTGGCTTTTGAGCACACGGGGGGTTTAAACAGGATGCTTCTTCGTCTTCGTGTTCTGTATTGGAGGAAAAAACAAACGTTATTTGAAGTGAAAGGAAAACTGCAATATGTACAGTTTTTAAATGGAAATAAACATTCCACACACTGGGTGTTTGTGCAAAAGGTAGCCTGTGAGCTATGAAAGAAATCTTGTTTTTGGGGTTTTTCTTCTTGCAAATGGATGTTTTGTTTTCTGAGCTTCGATGACAGATTGTATTTAAAACAGTAGATATTTCATTGAACCTGTTTCTAAAGTGTCTTCCTGCGTTTGATACGTGACATCGCTCTGTGCACGAGCTTTGCCTTTTTGGAGCTGGTGCGCAGCTGTTTTCATGAAACTATCAGGTCGGGCACGAATCTGAAATTGTAGCTTTTAATTGTCGTCTAAGCCACTGATGAAATAACTGTCACTGTCACACGCCAGAGACAAAGAGCCCAGATGTAGGAACAGCTTTCTGAACTGTATGAAATGTAAAGCATTGTTTTGTTTTTTCTCATTTAGCCAATAAATGTTTTTCTCTTCTGATCTCACGTGTTTGTTTGTTTCCTGCAGAGTTTATCCATGATGGATAAAAATATGCCTGATGCTCCTTACGTCACTTCTGTGTGCTGTAACCTCTGTTCCCTTGTATTCTTCCTCCACACACAGACACGTGAATGTTCGGCTCAGGAGGCAGTGATGCAGCGTGAACCCATTCTGCCTCATGCACACGCTGAATGCTGTGCTGTTGTGTGTGCATCTTGTATTTTGTGCAGGACTGTGACCTTGGCTGCTGCAGGACAGGAAGAAGAAAGAGCCCCACTTCTTCCTTTCATCCCCTGGTCCATGCACATGATGGGGGTTAGTCAATGTGTCAGTGCACAGTTCATGTCTGCAGCTTCTGACTGTTCTGCGCAGTGAACTCTTTCTTTCTTCTGTGTGTTGCTGTCTCTGGGCTGCAGCTGCGGAATCACAGGAGAACATCATTTGTTCTGCATCTCTCTCCGTCTCTTCTGCTGCGGGACGTTTCCCTCAAACTATGACCCAATCGTCGGGTGTTGCGTACTTTCAGCCCCTCCTCGTCCGGAGCAGCGTCAAGTCGCACAGAGACACGACGAGCAGCGCCGGAAACACAGTCAGCTCTCCTTCAGAATAAGAATTTCCCCATCATCGTCGACACAGTATTAGTCCAGGAATCTTTTCTCATCGGGACTTTATTAAAATTACATATAATGAAATAGACCAATGTTAAAGGCAAAGCCAAAATAATTAATCACACAAAGTAGATTCAACTTGTCGAAGGTGATTAACACAAATTTCACTTGTGTGAACGCACAAATACTCAATACTATAATTTTAATAGAGACAAGAATAAAAACAGTTCAAATGTGTTTGTGTTGCAGGTGCAGACTTTAGATTTTATCATTTTAACACAACAGTGTTTCTGCTCAGGAGACATTCTCCTGAAAATTGGCTGTAAAATATCACTTATCACATATTTTACTTCCTGTCGATTGTTAGTGTGATTTGTTCTCTTAATAAAACACGCATTGAATAAAGTAAATGTAATGACACCAGCTATCAGGGTGTGAATGTGACTGGAGGTAAATATAAATCATTGATCTAGTCATTTATTTTATTTCATTTGTTAAAATTACACTTCTACGTGTAGTGTTTAACTTTGAAAAACTTAACCGGAAACGCCTCTTTCAGCTCCGGCTAACTTGACAGCTTGTCCCGTGCAGCTGGCTCCAGGAGCAGCCCCCCCCCCCCCCCCC